AAAGTCATTTGAGACGTACAACTGGGTTCTTACCTCCCACGGGACGACTCATCAAAAGGGAAAGTACATCTTAGTCTAGATTGGCTTCTGTAATTGGCCAGCTTTTCAGACCAACGTTTAGGATTTTTATAACGTTTGAAGATACGATGTTTTTATTGTTTTTTTTTCGATTTTTTTTTTTTTGGGTGTGGGGGGGGGGTGCAATGGTTCTCCTAACCAGTGCGTTATAAGAGTATTGATGTGGAAAAAATGTGATTGCAAAAATAAATAAATAAATAGAAAATAAAAAAAATAAATAATAAAAATAAAATAATAACTTCGAATAGTAAATTTCACCCAGATATCATTCATTACCGCCACGCTACGAAAACTATAAAGAAAATAAGTAGCAAAAAAAAACAAAACAACATCGTCACAATGCCACCTTCCGGCAGATGTCAGCACGAGCGCACTGCAGCCTGATATCAGAGCTTTTCTTCGTCAGCATTTTTACCTCGCAAGTAGACTATGTCAGCTGTTGAGGATCTGTCCATTAGCCAAGATGAGATGTTAAGGAACTCGAGTAACGTCAAGATGTTTACGTATTTGTTTCAAAGTTGAGGAACCAGCAATAATAGTAGCCATTAGGGGAAAAAAACAGACGTGTCGCTTTTTTTTTTTGGAGAGAGAGAGAGAGAGAGAGAGAGAGAGAGAGAGAGAGAGAGAGAGAGAGAGAGAGAGAGAGAGAGAGAGAGAGAGAGAGAGAGAGAGAGAGAGAGAGAGGTCGTTTTTTTTCTATGTTCTCTTCAAGGGGAAGTGTCGTTGCGTATGGATCTTTGCTTTTCATTTGTTTCATTTACTGCGTCAGGAGCTGAAATCTCTTTTCCTCCGACGAAGGCCAAATGCGCTGGAAGTTATGTTCATTTTATTTCTTTTTCTCGCTTGTTTTAACTGTTATTGGTTCCTTCGCTATTCGTGATATTTATCTGTTTTGTAGGAATAAGGATTCCTTGTAGTATAATAAATAGTAACAGGTCATTAACTGGAGAATATTATAAATCCATTTTCGTGTTCATTTTCTGGATAATTGTATTTAGCATCATTAGTGTGATGTGAGTGCAATATATATGTATTTTTGTAGTCCTCTCTCTCTCTCTCTCTCTCTCTCTCTCTCTCTCTCTCTCTCTCTCTCTCTCTCTCTCTCTCTCTCTCTCTCTCTCTCTCTCTCTCTCTCTCTCGCTCTCTCTCTCTAACTCTCTCTCTCTCTCTCTCTCTCTCTCTCTCTCTCTCGCTCTCTCTCTCTAACTCTAACTCTCTCTCTCTCTCTCTCTCTCTCTCTCTCTCTCTCTCTCTCTCTCTCTCTCTCTCTCTCTCTCTCTCTCACTCACTTTCTCTTCCTCCGTTCCTCTCTCTCTCTTTCGTACCTAAAGACCATTTATCTAATGCGCCAAATCTCTTTTTTTTCAGAATGGTAAAACAGGGGGGTACTACATGACCCACTCCTACCCCCCCGGCGCCCCCGCCCACACCGCTGGCGTGGCCCCCATCCCCCGCGGTCCGAGGCCCCCCTACTCCCCAGCAGGTAAGTCCTCCCCCTCCGCCCTTCTGTGTGGGTTAGTGTCACCCCGACAGTGCCTCTCCCATTGGCTATGTTATGTGCTGTAACCACATGGGATGACCTGTGATTACCTGACCTGCATGTTTGACCTGAAACGACCTGGAATTAGAGCCTGGCACTAGGACCTGGCACTGATGACTGGTTTAATAGGCTTATGGTGCGAGGATGTCGGGTGTCAGGCACGGGGTCCAGAGCTCTCGGGACGAAGCATTGCCGACCTGGCCTTCGAGCCGCTGGCAGACCTACTTCAGCAGACCGGCGTCGGCAGACCTGGTCAGCAGACCAGAGCTCCGAGCTCCGAGGTCTGGGAACCTTTCTTTTGCTGATCTCACATTGAGTTCTAGTCTGAGACCGAATGACCGTATCTCTCGCTGAGGCCTTTGATCACACGTGGTCTGGGACCAGCGCAGAGCTGGTGAAGGAACTCGGCGCCGAGGTGTGTCTGAGCCGCTGGCAAAGCTCCTGCTAAGCCTCCTGCCAGGACTCGGTCCAGAGACGCCCGGGCGCCCGGCGGACTCCTGCCGGCCCTGCGCTCAGTCCTGAGACCTGGTGCTGTTGCCAAGGTGTGAGACGTGAGTCCATCTTTACTTTGTAAGCGAACATTTCAGTTATATCTTATTATTTCGGGTTTCACAAACAACATAATACATTTTATGCTCTCCCCAGCTGGGGGTGTGGCTCCCCCTAAGCCCCAGCGGTACGCGGGCGGACCGGGTGGCCCGGGCGGGTCTGCGGGCGGGCCCCCTGGCATGATAGGCATGAAGGGCGGAGTCAGGCCGTCAGCGCCCCCCGCCGGGCCGCCCACGGGACCTCCAGGTGGGCCACGCCCGCAACACTTGGCCCGCTCCTACTCCTCATACTCTTCCTCGCCAGAACGCATCGACCTCCTCTACTCCCCACAGG